CAGAGAGAGTTATTTATTTAATTCCCTGGCAGTGGTGGGGGGAGCTATTCCTGAGCTGTCATGTGTGGGCTCGGGGATGGAGCTGAGCAGAGCTCTCTTGGCAGGAGGAAGTGTGGCTTCGCTTCTGTTACATTTTGGCCGGTGCTGTTGCTGAATCCAGAAAGTTTGTGATAGCTTTTGCCACTCTTTCTGGATTCAAATGACAGTTTGGCCTCCTGTGCCATCTAAGAGCTTTATAAAAGTAAAATGTTCACAAATATGGAGATTTCCTGGAGAAGCTGTGGCTACCCCATCCCTAGAAGTGTCCCAGACCAGGTTGGACAAGACTTGGAGCAGCTTGGGACAGTGGAAGATGTCCCTGCCATGGCAGGGGTGGCACTAGATGGGATTTAAGGTCCTTCCAACCCCAACCAGCCCACGGTTCTATGACTTCACAAAACTCTCTAATAAGCAATAGAGATATAATAGAGATATAACTGTTACTCCTTGTACTTGCCCATAGCTCAAATTTGCCAACATTCTTGAATTGGGCCACCATATTGCTCTGAACCCAACTTTGGTGCAGGCTTCTCTGGGCCCCTTGGAAATCCCAGCTAAGACCAGTATTGTCCAGAATAAGACCACAGCAGAGAAATTACAATTCTGGAGCTAAATATAGACCTGCTCTAAAAGGTAAATTAAATGAAATTTGCGTAGAGCTGTTCTTTGGAAATACCTGCATGGAGCTGGTTTGAAAGGGAGAGCAGAACAGTGAGAAAAAGCAAGAAATGAGAGCATTTAAGAACTGTGGAGGGCTGAGGAGGCTGCTGTGCAGATTGTCAGGTCGGACCGCACCATGGAGCAGATCGTGTTCCCCGTGCCCAGCATCTGTGAGTTCCTCACCAAGGAGTCCAAGCTGCGCATCTACTACACCACGGAGAGGGACGAGCAGGGCAGCAAGATCAACGACTTCTTCCTCAAGTCTGAGGATCTCTTCAATGAGATGAACTGGCAGAAGAAACTGCGAGGTGGGTCAGTGCTGCTCCACGTGGGGCTGAGCGCAGGGTTTGGGGATTTTGGGGTGTGAAGAGTTGGCTGAGCAGCAGGTGGTTCCCCTGTGGGACATATCTTGAGAAAGGAAGAAAATTACAGCTTGAAAAATATTCCAGGTTGGAGCTTCTCAGCTCTGTTCCCAGCCAATAAGCTGGTCCAACTCAAGGCTAGGGAGAATTTCTGCCAAGGTGATAATTTGGTCAAAGTAAAAAGAAATTAATAACAAAAATAAAACACCTGTTAAGGTACGTGACCAGGCCCTAAAAATAAAGTATCTTCTCTCTGAACCAATCACCTCTTCTCTACTCTTGAAATTGCAAGTCATGCTATAAAACCAAGTGTATTTCTAAATAAACTTATCTCTTTATTCCTATCATAAAAAACAACCATGTAACTGTACATCCTATTTCCACCGCACTTAAAGGGTTAAAACCCTTTTCCACAGCTACATTCCCCAGTGTGGAACCTCGAACAACCTGAGAATTATTTGCAAGGGCTGCTGCTCTGCACGGGGCAGGACGCTGGGATAAAGGCAGGCTGGATGCTGGAGCAGTAGGGACCCTCTGGAGGGGATCCAGGGCAGAGCAGGAAGGAGCAGCACAGGTCATCCTGTCTGAGATCCAGCAGGGAGGGACAAATGTGTGGAGGAGTAGCTGAAATGAGAAGGAAAGGGGGGATAGACCCAGCTGAAGAGAGCAGTGGTCTGTGCTGAATGCAGCAAGAATAAAACTCTTACCTTATTCTTGTAGGGGAGTAGGGTTGGGGAATGCAGCAAGGTTGGACTTGCTGATTGTAAAGGTCTTTTCCAACCACAAAGATTCTGTGGCATCTCTAGGAATGGACATGTCTAAGGACAAATTAAAGATGGATTTCTCAGTAATGGTAAAGTAGAATTCATCCTTTCTTGGCAAGTAGCAGGTTGAGAAGTCCCTTCCATCTATGATGCTAAAATGTCTCAACACCGGTGTTTTCAAGCACTGATTTTCCCTCTGAGGTTCCCACTGGCAGCTGGGAAATGCCTTAAAATGATATTTAAATTCACACAGTGCCACCATGTCCCCCAGTAAACCTTGTAGCTCATTTGCTTCATATTTTTGTTCCTGTTTTGCTGAAGGCCAAATGAGGCTCATGCTGAGAAGTGACCAGCAGTGACCCTGTGAAATGGGAGATAAGGCAGGTCCTTGCTGCTCCCCTCCCCTGCATCAGCTCCACTCCAGTTTGCAGTGCAAGAGCAGGACTGGTCTGGGACCCCCTCTTGGAGCAGATGTGGGACTGCTTCCAAAAATCTCTGCAAGAAATCTGGGAGTGTGACATCCTAAACAAATTGCAACTTCAACAGCGTCCATATATTCTGTTAGATTTTCTTGTTTGAGTCACTTTGTCTTTGAGGCTGTCTCCAAGCAAGCTGTGAAGGCATCCATCATTAACAACAAACCACAAATTAGCCAAGATCCACCTGCAGAGATGGAGAATATTTCTTCTTTTTTCTTTAAAAATGGGGATAATTTATCCTGTCTCTAATATTCGGGTCTTGTCTGGTCTCTGAGTGATTTTTTTTACATTCCTACAATTGTTTCTCACGTTTTCAGTAGAGTTTGTGTTGGAGCTGTGACCTCTGGCAGTGCTGTGTGTGCTCATGTGATGCCACTTAAGAGTTTATTCAACCCTTAAAAAGACTTCTAAAATAAAGACCCATGTACTTCTCCCTTCAGATCATGGTGCTGGCCCATCATCTGAGCACCAGAAGCCTCTTAATTGTTAATTAAGAATGGAAATGAGCTGCTAAAGCCAGACAGAAGCACTGCACAGAGAGTCAGTGTCCATCCCCAAAGGAAGGTGTTAAGTTAAACCTGGAGCTTTATAATCACTCTTATATATTTCACATAAATTAGTTAAACCTGCTTACAAATTCTTCCAGTTAAAAGGAAACTGAGAACACTGAGATACTGTGGAATTCTTTGCCCCTTTGTTAGCTGGGGGTGTTAGAGCAGGGGATTTGCTGGAGAGAGGTGGTGGCTGCTGTGAGGCTCAGAACTGCTGCATGTAATAATTTACCCTTCAGCCCCAAATCTGCATTTTCAGCTTGTTCCTAAATTTTACTGAGAGCTTTTCCTTTGCTATCTGATATCTAAGCACGCTGCCTCCTTCCACCAGGGCAAAACAGTTCTTTTCCCTTCTTTGAGAGCATTTTTAATGGATGATTTTTTTCACTGCTCTAGATTTCAGGAGGACACAATTTGCTGTGCAGTAAGCCTGCAGGAGCTAAAATCAGAGGGATTTTGCCTGGATGCAGAGGGAATTACTGCAAGGCAGCTCCCTGGCTTCCTTGTTGACCTCGGGTTCACAACCACTTCAGCAAAGGAATCTTTCTGCTTTCTGCCTCTTGGTTCTGGCTGCAGGGATTATTTAAATTAGGAGTCTTTTTGAGCAGTATTTCTGTGTAACATGAAGGATTTAGATGTGCTGGTGGATTGTACATGGAGCTCTGTGCAGATGAGCTGAGTCCTTTGCCCCTGGGGCAGAGGGAAGGCCAGGGAGCTTCACCCCCAGGTTATTCTGGGGCTGTTTTGGGCTGTTCTCAGCAGAAAATGAATTTGCAGGTGGCACTGTCTGCTGCAGGTGAGCTGCTGGCAGCAGAGGCGTGGGGCTGGAGCTCACTGCTCATTTTCCTCCTCCAAATTGCTCTTGGTGTGACTCCTGAGTACAAAGTATGTTATTAGGGGAAGCCTCAAGTGCTTGATCTCTGCAGTTTCTCAGCTTGTTCTCTTGCTGCTGCTAAACCATGTTTGAATCAGGGATCCTTTGCCTTAAAACACCAGCTAGGAAACTTGAAGGGCCCCCAAAATGAAGGATAATTAAATAAACTTCAGAATAAGCCACGATTATTATTACTTTTGATGCTGTGCTTTTGGGCAAATTGAAAACAAGCTTGTTTTGGTGGTGATGTGTTGTTGTTTTTTTTTATAGAGGCTTCTTATTTTTACTAAGCTCTCCATTAAAAAGAAATCATTTTGTCTGTTGCAGCTCAGCCCTTCCTGTACTGGTGTGCTCGGAACATGTCCTTCTGGAGCAGCATTTCCTTTAACCTGGCTGTCCTCATGAACCTGCTCGTGGCATTTTTCTACCCATTCAAAGGAATTCGAGGAGGTACTGATAATTAACCTAAAAAAAAAAAAATATGTCAACAAATGAGGTGTAACGAGCCAAATTGTGCTGTTTACATCAGTGGGGGTAGGAGAACAGAATCTGGCTTTTTAAATGGCTTTGGTTTAAATTGTGCTGTTCTCTTTCTTGAGGCATTTTTAAGGAAAATGTAGAGCCATGCTTTTTCCTAGGGGAAAAAAAATTACCCAAGACAAACATCCACCTTTAATTGCTTGACTGTTCTACTTCGATTTAAAGCCCTGTAATTAAGGATTGAGCTAAAAATAGGCGAAATGTTGATTGTGTTGTTTTCCTTGAGCTTGCAGTTTATTAATGGCATTTTCCACACACTTTTCCTGGTGCTGGGGGTGGATCCAGCTGCAGCCCAGGGTAGGGCAGGGCTGGAGTCCTGTCAGCAGCACTTGGGAAATCCAAGGGGTTTTCTCAGCAATGTCACTGCAATCACTTGCAGAATGATGTGAATGTCTAGGTAGGAGCTTTTTCCTTGTCTGTGGGGGGGTTTGCATCCTGAAAAAGCCTGTCAGAGGGATATTTTAGACCAAATCCCAGTGTTCCTGAGAGGGGGGAGAGAACAGTTTTACCTTCTGCCATCAGGTCCACCAGGCTGTGGCTGCTGTCCCTCGTGTCACACCCAGTGTCAGCAGAGTGGGGACAGCCCAGGTCCTGGCTGGAAGGTTCTAACAAGCCCAAAGAGCAGCTGAATTTCTCTCTCTGGTTTCAAAGTTCCAAGTTAAAAGCTCTGAATTTATGGCTGCCAGGAAAGCTGCTGGTTAAATGAGTTCCCTGAGATTACAAACTGCAGCACTGGGGAGGGATTGTTTGGCATTTTGAAGATGCCCTACCCTGCATGTTTGAAATTCTTGATTTATCAGGTAACGTTTTGATGAAAGCTCTTCCTCTCCTAGAGGAATCCAAAAAGTAAAATAAATAAATAAATACATGTGTATCTTATATTTAGCTTAAAAAAAAAAAAAAAAGACTCTTCCAAACAGACTGTTTGGGGGAAGTTGTCAGTGTCTTGAATTGCTCAGACACGGTGAACTGAGCAGCTGATGAGCATCTGACAGTAGCAGAAGCTGTAAAACTTCTGACTTGAGGAGCAGAAACAAAACTGGATGCCTGGAATTCGGTACTGGAGAGGTGAGAATTCCAGAGACAGGGAGAACTTGCTGCTGGTTGCACCTTCCTGCTGCCTGTGGTTGTGCAGGGACTCCCAGCAAGGCTTTGGGGTCAGGCTGGTGCAGAAGTCAATGAGTGACCACCTTGGCTCCGTGTGCCAGGACAAGGATGCTGCTCCCAGCCTCTCTCTGTCCCTGGGAAGGAGAGGGGAGCCTGTGGCCCAAGCCCTGCTCTGCCCTGAGGGGACACTGCTGGGTCCCATGGGGTCCTGGCACTGCCCTCCTGGTGCTGCTGAGCTTCTGGGCTGGAACCAGGTGGGTGTTCCAGGACCTCAGTCACTCCAGGTGTTTCCTTGGAGCTGCTGCAACTCCTGAAAGCAAATATATTCCCAATAAATCTTCTATAGATTTTAGAGAAGTCATTCCTAAAGAGGCTGCTGCACATTTCCTGTGTCCCCTCCCCATGCTGTTGCTTGTTCCCACTCAGTGGCTCCATTCCCAGCTCTGCACCTTGTGCTGTGTGACAGCTCCAGGAGCCCCAACTCCCCCCAGGCAGCCCAAACAGCTGTTCAACTTTATGCTTATTAACTTTTAATTTCCATCCATCCTCTGCTGTCTTTATTAATCTGCAGTGATTTGGAACAAGATTAAATGGCTGCTCGTGGTAGTCAGATGAGAGTAATATTTCCTAAGCTGCCTGAATTTGGGAGCAGGGGAAAAAAAGCCCTGAGTGAGGATCTTGCCAGTCACACACAAGTTTGGGAGAATGTGCTTGCAGAAGGGCTGCAGAGTGCTGTGAAATTTGGGGGACCTTGCTTTTTTTTGTCTGTTGAGGAACCAGTTGCTTAAAGACAAAAATTTTTTAAGTCAGCTTTGAGAAAGAGGTGTCTCACATTCTGCATAAACCTGAGGTAAATGGTGTTTTGGTCTGAATCTCTTTTATGGCTCTTTCAGGGAAGTGTATTTTTAGCTACACGGGCTCGGTGTTGTGTAAGCAGCCAGTCTCAAAAGACAGTCTAAATAGACCCAGAAATAGCAAGAGATGCCAAAAATGGGTACCAGGGTTTGACCAAAAGCCCATCAGGGGGCTCTGGGGGAGTGTCCTCACCTGCCCAGGCACTGCCTCTGCACAGCACAGCCCTCAGCACTCAGGTGTGCAAGCAGTGAACACCCAAATGAAGATCCTGTAGTACTTACCATTTGTGTAATGATTTGGTAACAAGTTTGTGATTCAAACCTGCTGAAGGCTTTGGGCTCAGATGTTGCTGCTGTGCAGTCAGGGGTGGCTGAAGGCAGGGCTGGGTGATGTTCCCCCAAAGACAGAACAAATGGCAGTGGTCAGGTCAGTTTGGTTATACTGATGCCTTGAGAGGCTG